GCGATTTTTGTTTTTTTAGTTTGATTTTAATTACATGTACATTTCTTCAAATAATATTATTATTGAGATATTGGCATATAATTGCATCTTTATGGCAATTTGAAAAATGTAAGGAAAGATCTTAATATTTTTTTAACTAGCGGAGATGTTGAAGAAAGTTAAAAAAAGAATTAAAACAAGTATGTGTATGTACGCATTAACAAGTGCTCAATAAACGTATACATATATAATGTAAAACAAATAACAAAAAAAGCAAGTTTTTATTAATAGAACAAAAATTTAAAATTTATTAACTTACTATAAATTAGCGAAAAAAAAAATATAAATTAAAAAATAAATAGATGCTGTTTAAACGGCATTTTGTTTAAGAATTCGATTTTTTTTAAGTTTCTCTTTTTTTTTTAATTCTTTAAATTAAATTATTCTTATTTTTTTGTTCTATAATATATTTTTAAAAAATTACTTAAAAAATAAAATTAAAAGTATTCAGATATCTTGAATAATTTTTTAATATAAATGAAATAAAATAAAAATAATTTTACGTAAAATAATATATTTATATATATAATATATATATATATATATATATATATATATATATATATAAAATAGTATATAGTTTCTCATAAAAAATTGAATAAGATGCAAAATTAAAAAAAAAATTTAAAATAAAATTATATATAAAAATAAGCTGCTAAAGCTTGAAAAGAATATAAATTAAAAAGAATAATATATACGTATATACCTATATATTAAATATTTAAAATAAAATCAAAATTATTTAAAACATAAAGCAAAAATTTTATTAAGAGAGACATAAATAAAACTGATAACTGAATGAAAACATCAAATATTTTAAAGCAAAATCTGAAATAATATATACATGTATATATATTTGCATATATGTATCTATATATACAGGTATATAATTATAAAAATAAAATATAGTATATTATATTATCCTAAAATGAACAGATAAAATAATATAATGCAAAAAAAAAGTAAAAATTATAAAAAAAGTAATGCAAAAAAAGAGTAAATAAAATTACACATTAAAAAATGAAGGCCAATATTAGTTTTCTTTGATTTTATCTTTTTTAGTTCATTTAATTTTATGTTGCAGATTTTAATTTAATATGAACGTTATTTCTGACTTTTTATTGCTTGAACTTGTTCGCGGGGCTGCTATTGAGAAAATTAGTGTTATTCTTTACTGCAGGTGAAGTACTCGATGTTGGATGTCATTGCAAAGTAATAAATCACCACTAAGAATAGCTGACATTCAGTTTGTGACAATACTGTTTTATTCAGAAATTAACACTTTTTTTACTAAATTGTATAGAACATCAGTTTTATTAAAAATTGAATGTTATCTAGGCTCATGGTGTTTTAATAATTAATAAAAATTTTTTACAAATCTTAAGCTGAACATTTCTGTATCTTCATCTTTTGTTGAGACAAGAGTAAGAAAGCATCATATATATACATATATATATATTTATAATGTAAAAATTATAGTTGAAGTAAAGAAATTTTACTTTTATTTTAAGAAAATATAAGTAAGTATGTAATCATTTTTGTAAAAATAACTTGCAAGATTAAAAAACGAGGATTTTGGTTTGAAAATATTTAAAAAAGAGGTGCACAATGAGGTTACATGTTTTTTTTTGAAATAAAATGCAGCTCATTTTAAAATCAGTTTTCATTATTTTCGAATGAATGTAAAAAAATAATATCGAAATATATAAAAAAAGTATGTAATATTCATTTTATCGTTCATTTTATTAAAAGTTCATTTTAATAAAACGAGCGTTAAAATGGATTTTTGTACAAAATTTACAAAAATATATTTAAATTTAAATACTTACACTTTTCGCTACGATATACGGAAGACTAGATCGTCATTAAGTTTGATAATTCAATTAATCTATGGTAGTTACTGAATTCGTTATAACTTAGCATACATATATTTAAAATTTTATAAAAAATTCCCTTTATTACTTCTGGATTTTTAAAATTATAAGTATGCCTTACAGATTACCCAGTTTTTATTAAATAAACATAGTTCTGAGTTTAAATTACATTTTCGCTCAGAATACTTTGTGTGAATAAGATAAGAGGGTTCATTTGATGTTCATGCAATGATTTATTTTAATTCTTTGTTTAAAAAAATATTTAGATGAAATTAGTTTTTGAAAAGTATTATTAATATATCTGTGAATATGAGTCATATGATAAGCTTGATATGTAAGTTGTTTTCTCTAATAATATTTGAGTTTAATTTTTTTTTGGTTTTCTGGGTATATAAAAATTGGCTACAATAAGTTTATTGTTAATCAACTGATCGATAATCATCTACTTTACAAAACAATCAACAACTCGTTAATTGTTCAATTATAGTTTTGAAATAAATTTGAAGTAATTATACTTCATAATAAGGTAAAATATTTTTATAATAATAAATCAAACAATATTAAATCTGTTTTATTTTCTATCTTTATTAAATTTTCCTTTTAATTTCAATTTGTTTTCTTTTTCATTGTTTTATATTTTTAATGTTTTGATATAAGTAATGATATTTTGAAAAATAATAAAAGAGATTATCAATTTTTTTTTGATTTTTCACTATTTAATTTTTATTATGTATTTCAATTTTTCTTTTGCTAATGATATAAGTTTTTTAGGTTTTTTTTTTATTATTGTTTTTGATTTTATGAAGAATACAATATAATATAAAAAATAATTTAAAATCTAAAAGTAAAATAATAATAAATAAATAATTAAAAATTATATGATGCAAGTAAATGCGTTCGACTACAGTCTCTATTGAAGTTTAGAATGGCTAATGATTTAGTTTTAGTATTTGCTATATAATTATATATTTTATTTTTTATTACAAGATGAATATGTTGTTATCTGATTATAATAAAAAATTAATATTGAAAAATTGATTATTCCTTAGAATTTAAGATACAAAAATGAAAAACAAGAAAAATTTTATATAATATTTTTGTTTTAATATTGTTTAATTGAAATTAGTGATATTGTGTACCAATTAATAAATAGGCGAATTAAAATAGGAATTGCTTTTTGGTACATATTCCATATTAATTTCAGTAAATTTTGTACTTAAATATTAAAATTGTAATTTTCAAAAAATTATTAAATCTTGAATTATTTGTGTATTTTAATTTTAATTACTGAATTTTTATTTATATATTTATACCATGTATATTTTTATCATAAATTCATAGCCATTACAAAACTTAATAGAAAGTGTTCCATCTTTATTCTTTTTTTTTTTAATTTTTTTTTAAATTAATTTAAATAATATTTTTTTTTGTTTCGATATATAAACTAAAAAAAAAAGTTTTAAATAAAAAATTTTAATTGCAGAAAATTTTAAATAAATTTAAAAACATTGAACCTTGCCATTATGATTTGTTTTTTTTTCTTTAATAAATAAATTATTTACTTTTTAGTAAATAGAAATAGATAGTATTTTTGTTTTAGTTCCTCAAAAAACAAAAAATAATAATAATTTAAGAATAGAAAATTTAAAATTAAGGCTTATAAATGTAAATCATGTATTCTTATATTTATAATTAATGTTGTTATGGATCTTTTATCATTTAGGTCAAAATTATATATTGTATATTAAGTCTATTTTAGTTAAAATTTAAAATATATATGTATTTTTTACTTAATACTAAAAATGTATGGATTGCCTATCTATATATGTATGCTTTTTTTCTGAAAATTTTCTTTTAAAAATTTTTTATCCTCACTTTCTTTTTTTTTTGAAATAAATGATATTTTTGACAAAAAAAAATTATGTATACGTATGTAAATATTTAATTCTATTTATATTATAAGAAATTTGATTAACAAATATTTTAATCGATCATATATTTTTGATTTGGAGATTTTTTTTGTTACAGTATTTATAAAAAATTTTAAGTGTAAATGTTAATTAAAATATAATGATGATTCAATGAAACAAATTCAAAATTTATATAATTATGAATATTTTAATTATTTTCATATTAAATTTTTAGGTAATATTATTGTTATCATATTATTAATTTATTTATTTAATTTATAATTACTATATTAAATAAAAAAAACGGCATAAATATATAAACACCGTCACTTCCAAAACACACTGTAAAAACATTCAAGGTGAGAATCACCTAAATATATTTTCTTAACAAAAAAAATGTAAAAATTTGAGATTTAGTAATTCTGGCAAGTCTTTTTGTGAAACGTGTACAGAAAACAGTCTTAATATTTTTTCAATACACACTCTGCTTTTGTTTAATGTTTCGACTGCGTATTCGATACATTTTAGAAAAGTATGCAATGTCAAGAGCTTTCAATATACATTTTGGAATATAGTATCTTGTAAATTTTACCTTTTCACTCTGTTTTGGAAGTCAAGAATACTACTTATTAGTAGAATTATAAAAAAAATGGAACTAAATGATACTTAAATTTTGATAGAGAAAAATTTTTGTTAATCATATTTCTACATAATTTTTTTTTTATTTTTAAAATACTATTAATATTAATTTAATCGTTTGTTTTGTATATGTTTTCATTTTAGAAACTAATAATTTTATATTAAAAAATTTTATATATTTTTTTTTGTTTTTCATCTTAACTAAGAATATAGTTTATTTTTATATGTATAAGTATATAATATATGCATATAATATAATATATATGAAATTTAAAGTAGACTTTTATATAGTAAATTAATGTAATTTTAAGAAGTTCAGACACATTTTTTTTTGAAAATTTAATCTAATGAAATAAAAAAAATACTTTCATTTATCGCATTCATTTTATCGTTTTTTTTTTTGTTTCTTCCTACTAATTTTATATTTATATATTTATTTTTTTTTTGTATTGGTTTTTTTTCATTTTTTTTATTTTTATTAAGTAATCCCTAAAAAAATGTTTTATGTATAATATAATAATAAGAGGTGTACATTTATTTAGGCTACAATTTTATGTGGTTGCATCCATTTTTTCATATAATAGCAGAAAAGCGTTGAAATATAAACCAAAATCATAAGAGCACATGTTACCGCTAATGCTAAGACTGATGTTTTTGTTGGGCATGGCTCAATAATGGTAACAGTCTTATCTAAAATAAAATTAAAAATAAAATTTTATTAAGATATATTCACGATTCTATATAACATTCATTAAAAATTTTTTGTTAAATTTAAAATTTAAATTATACCTTTTGAAAAATCTGCACTTGGATCAGATCTAAAGAAATCACGTTTTTCATCACCAAAATCGAGTACCAAAATTTCTTGTGAAATATTCATATCATCTTCAGTTTCTTTGGTCTCATTACTATTTATGATTTGTGATATAGCAAATAAAAAATAAAAAAAAAAAAATTTTGTCATCTATTTGTTATTTTTTTTTTTAATAAATAAATTTACCTTTCAATTGAACGTTTTTTCCTTCCCCATGATTCTACTGATTCCATATTCCATTCACATACAGCTGGATCACATGGTCCTAAACAATATTTTACATTACATTGGAAAATGACACCATAACTTTCTGTAAATCTAAATGCTTCATAAACGGATTGTAAAGCATTTCCATCGGGTGTAAAACCGGGGAATATTGTTGGATCTGTTGGACAACCATCATCATCAATTATTTTAAAACTGGTACGTGCATCCTTAGCCATTGCAACACATGAACGAGCAAAAATTCCATATGGTGCTAATAAATTTTATAAATAAGTTATGTTAAAATATTTAGAAAAATAAAATGCTATATTTATATACTTACTATCTTCAGGAATTTCAATACGGAACATTAAACGATCACCAATTCTTACTGTTTCAACTTCACGTTGTCTTGTATCCAAAATACGAATTCTTGGTGGTGGTGCTTCTGGTGATGAATTAATATGAATCATATCTGGATCACGAATTGGCATCATTCCGAATGTAATATTCTTTGAACTCATATCATATGTACATTTAACTTTATAAATTTTATCAGCTTTTGTCATAACAACACTATGATGTTGTAGAACAACTGTATTTGTATAAACACCAGACTAAACAATATATAGAATACAAAAGAAATGAGGATTAATAAAAAATTTAAATGGATTAAAGAAATTAATAAGAGTTGATATTTTAAAATCATTTCAAAAATTTTGGTAGCTGAATAATAGGTTAGGTTTTATAAGAATATTGGGTTTTATGAGTTTGCCATATATTTCATTCCATATTTCAATAACAATAATAATTTATGCATATGAATTATTGATCAATTAATATAGAAAAAAAATAATTTTTAAACAAACAATTCAATTTTTTTTGTTATTAATTGCCTTTAATCGAATTTGATAATGAAAAATATGAGTTTGATCTACATAAATAGTTAATTAGGGAAACAAGGATTTTCGGATTTCCTTAAACTTTTTAAGCCATTATAACAATATTGAAATCAACACAATGTATTTGAAAATAATTTGAGAAAATTTTTAATTATATAAATTATTTTCATATTCATTTAAAAAAGTCCATTGTATGTATATATACATATATTTGTATGTAAATATATATACGCATAAAGAAAATGCTATTAAAATCTATGCGGATATGTTAAACTCCTTTCTGTATTTTTCTTTAAGTACATTTAATTTCCTTCTTTAATTCATCGCAGCGTATAAGAGTTTTGATAATGCTCAATTAAAAATATGTATTGTATAAGAGAAAAGAATAAAATTTTCTTCTATAGCGTATAGTAAGTATAGAAAAGAAATAATTTTATAGCATACATACATATATACGTTATATACTTTGCATTTTACATATTTTCTACATATAATAAGCATAACCATAAAACCATAATAGTAATAATAGTAATAATAGAACTTTCAGAATATAGCAAATTTATTATATAATAATAGATAATTAAGATTTTGAACTTGTAGAAATCGTGTACACGAAGTCATATTATCATATACATTACATACATATGTAAGCGTGTATTAACTTATAGGTTAATGGTATATTAATATATATACACAATTTGAAAAATAAAATGGAGTCTTTTTTTCTGCAGAACAGAAAAATAATAATTATTTAAACATTATATAAAAGATATTAATAGTGTATAATAATAAATAAACAACTTTTTAAGTTCATTGAAACTAAAATTTTAAATTATTAACAACATTTTATTGTCATTATAAAAACGAAGAATTAGGTGTTAAAATTTTTTTTTATGATATGCGTATAAAATACAAAAAAATATTATGAATATTCATAATGTCGGAAAATTTTACAATTATACTCAATTCAATTCAATTATGTGTATCTATACTCTAGGCGTCAAGTCTATTTTCCAATTTCGTTAATTGCCTCAGTATTTATTTTGACAGAATAGAATTTTTGAGCTACACAAAAATATTTTTATTTAAAAAAAATATGTACTTACCACACTTTGTGTATTACAATCTTGTCCACCCATCGTTAAATCTAAACGGAATGAATCAGAGTTAATGACATCAATATTACATGTTTCAGAACGTCCCAATGAGTAGATACGACCATTAAATGGTTTATTTGTTCTCACTTGAACAGCGATTCTTGTATCCTTACAGTGAACTGATACTATATAAAACAAGTAAGAAAAAAAAATGATTAAAATATGTGTATAATGAAAAGTTATATGTATATAAGATTGCACATTATAATTGAATTTCATATAGAAATAGAAATCTTATATTAAGGTTTATATAATTTAAAGTTATGTCCTCTTTAATTGAATTCCAAATCATTAAAAATAGTCATTAAAAAATTTTAAAAAACTACATTCCGACAAAAAAAGAATTTTTGTTAGCATTTTATTAAATGAAGCTAAAATAATAACTGATGAGTAAAAGAAACAAATGATGGTCCTATAATGCAAACAGAGGTCAAACGCTTATGGTTAGTTGAAATCAAAAGGACTGTGAATCAAAAGGAATATAAAAGGTTAGTTAAGTATTTTTTCGCAAGATTTAACTAACTTTATTCAGCCTGTTTCGTTGTATTAATAAATTTCATTGTATTTAATAAATTTTTATAGACGAAACGTTATGGGCTCTGTATACATATTAATATATACACACTTATATAAAATATATATAATATATATAAAATTTCATACCATCATAACATGTTCCAGTTTTATCACAGTTGACATCATTTCTTGTTAAATTATTTAATGTTGGATCTTCGGTTGCATCTAATGTAACTGGTAATGTATGATCTGATGGTGATTGACCACCACTATTACTACCACTTAATGGTGATGCTGATGATGCTGTTACTTTTTCACATTGATTTTCAAAATATTGTCCAATTGGTTCACCATGATCAATTAATGGTCGTTCACCATTTAAATATGTTGATGGTCCATCTGGTAATGTTTTATGATCTAAATGATATAAACGGCAATTGTATTGTAAACCTTGTGGTTGTCCCAAATATAAAAATGATCTACATAAAAATTCTGTTTCAATTTCACATGCTAATTTACATGCTGATTCTGATGTTACTTGTAATTCTTTATCAGTATAATAATGTAAACCAACATATTGTGCTACTTTTTCTTCAGATACACCAATTCTTGGATTTGTAAATATACGATTATTTCTACATGCTGATTGTGGTTTTAAACATAAATTTTCAAAATAATCTGTACCTTGTGCATCAACTAATTGTACAAATTGACCTGTTGTACGACGATCTGAATCACTTAATACACATTTCATATTATTATAATCATATTCAACTGAACGGCATACAAAACGTTTTTCATTTAAACAAGCTGATAAACATGCTTCTTTTGTACTTGTATATATTAATGCATTATCAAGACCACGTATTATTTTATTTGGTACTCTTTCAAATGACCATGGTCTTAAACATACATTATCACTACGTAATTGTAATTTTACCATATAATACATATTAGCTGAACGTTGTGCCAATGCTGTTGGATTATGTGCACTTGATTCATTTTGTAATTGACAATGTGTCTCTTGTGTTGGTGATAATGGATTAACAACAAAACTAAATGCTGCCGATTGACAATCTGGTTCCTCTCTACACCATCCTTGACATTCATAAAGTGATAAATTTTTAACACTATAATATGTTGTACCACTAAAATCAAAATCTGTTAATTTTTCAAATGCCATACGTCCATTGACATATTGTGGAAATGATAATGTTAATGCTAATATAACCAATGGTAATATAAAAAAGTTCGACGTCCTCATCATCTATTTAAAAAAATAAAAAAAAAAGAATGTTAATAATATAATGATTATGCATGACATACTTATATGCATGTACATTAAATGTAATTTTTGTATTTATAAGGTAATTAAAAGCTAATTGGTGATTTTTTTTTAAATAATTATGATTGCAATTGATTTATTGCAATTGATTGTATTTGGAAGTAATAGAATATTTAAGCTTATGATTTATAACAAGCTAGTTTTCATTTTTCACTATACTCTACTACATAACGTATTATAATAATTTTAAACTAGAAAATCTTGTCGAAAATTTTGAGTATTACGGGGTCTAGTTAAAAATTTAAAAATAAATAAAAAAGTTTAGTTTTACTTTCAGATATTTTGAAATTTAATAGCTAATCTCTTTTTGTGATATTGTAAGGAACCTTCATTAGATATCTTGTTAAATTCGTATGTCCGGCGGTTGACTATAATTTTCTTAACTTTTTTATGCTAAACTTCTTACTTTATTTCATTCTTAATTTTTTTTTTATTACAAATTTTTTGCAATTTTTCAACAACATTAACTCATGTGTACTATAAATAAAAATATTTATTGTAGCTACATGTACATTTTTCATAACTTTTGTTGTCGACGACGTTGAAAAATTTCACATTATTAATTTTTGTTTTATGATTTATAACGTGAAAGTTATTAAAAGTTATTTAATGAATTATGAAAAAAACTAGGATGAATGAATTAGGTTTAGAAAATTTTAAATAATTTCAAATTATATGAGCGAAAAATTACGAATTATCTTAAGTTCATTAACTTTAAAATTATTTCAATATATTCAAAATGAAAATTAAGAGATATACATAATCGAAGCGATATTATAGACTGTATACAGAACTTTTATATTTAATAGTCAATTTCATTTTAAAATATTGAGTCACAGTGCAGCTTAAAGATGGAATTCGATTAATATAACAAAGATTTGCTTTTAACAACGTAAAAATTCACTTTAAACACATTTTATAAGAAAAAAAAAATTTATTATGTAGGTAATAGACTTTTATATATATGCTTTTGCTTATATATATATATATATATATATATATATATATATACTGTTACCTTCATATTAATGTTAAATATCAATGTTTTTATATTTCACTGATTTTTATTTAAAATAATTGCGACGACAAATCAATTGAAATACTGGTTTAAGAAACTGTATAGGGTTTTTTTTTCATCTTTAATATTTATATATATATATTGTTATACAATTACGTTTTACTTTTGAATAATATAAATATATTTTATTTTTAAAATGTGACGGTTTGCTCACCAGCATCACTTCAGCATTATTTGCCACTATTCTTATTTTCAATGATGAAAATAATGTTTTGGATTCAGGACTATATTTAATATTTTTTTTGTTCTTTTTTTCTAGATTTTATCTCAGAGATCATCTTAAATATGAAATAAAAAATGAAACGAAAATTGTTATAAATTAAAATTAAGCGCATCGCGTTCTATACAATTTGTATGCGAGGCTCACGAGTTAATGCATATATATTTATATATATAAATTTATATATAGAAGAACATTCTTATTATATTATTAATCCCATTAAGATATGAAGTGTTACAAATTACTGGTATTATTTTTGATTCCATTAAAACTACGATTACAAATATTATATTTTATTCTTGTTGCTATTATTAATATTTATATGATATGTAAAAATAAAGTAAGTATATTTTTATATTTTATAAAAAGAGGAACATATGTATATATATTAGTACAAGTATATTATACACAGCATAATATTCCAACTATTACTATAAATAAGGTTCTTATTTCTTTTATGATTTTTTACAATTTACTATTGAGTTGGTTTGTATTAATCAAATAATATGATTAATTATGAATTCTCGTAAATAATATACGTACGTGCAATACATTATAAATAACTACAATTTAAAGTTATTTTTATAAAATGTATTTTAACACTATATACAGAATAATTTTTATATAATTTTATCTGAAGAATGTCATCTTTTGTTATACTATGTACATTATACTGTTATATATTGAATTTATATTTTGAATTAGGTTACTAGCTGTATATGAGGTGAATCAATATAATCTATCTCTTAAAAGGAATCTAAAAAAAATTGAGTTTATTAATTAAATGTAGTTTAATAGCAGAGCTACTATAATATTCTGAATGGTTATTTCTATTCAAATTATACATATCATATATATATAAATTTGGATATAATTTTTACGAATTATTTTAAATTAAATATTTATTAAAACACTAGAACTTTTAGGCGAAAAAATATGCTCTTATTTACTGGAAAATAATATATACGTATATATGTATACGTGAGAATTTTTGTTATTTTATTTAGCGAAGCTAAAATATTAAACTGCGGCGAATTTAATTAAAATATACGATATTAATCAATTAGTTATTTAATAAACTATTATATAGTTTATAGATATTCAAATATCTATTCATAAATAATTGAATAGTTTATTCAATAAAATAAAAATGACCATTACGCATTGGGTGGTCAGGTATTTTGTAGATTATGTTTTATATGAACACATCTTTACATATATATATGTGTATGTTTGGTTGATTGATTGACGTGGTCGGTGCAGGAGGCCCGGCATACCATAATTAGCACAAATCTGTCGTTTTACTACCACTATCATGTGATTACTAGGCTGTTTTTGAGCGTAGAATTACAGGTGGCCTATGCTTATAGTTAATTAAAAAATATATGTTCCTATAGTAATTAGATAATATGTGTTTTATAAAGAAAATATATGTATATGTATAGTTCATTTATTATTTAAAATTTATATATTTTGTAATGTTATGGTTTGGAATATAATGGAATATCGTTATGTTGTTGGAATATAGTTTAAGGAAATAATTTAAAATCGAAGCCAATTTGAAATAAAGAATAATTTTATTTAACTACAAAATAACAGGAGTCAATTTAAAATATAAATAATTTTTATGTTATAATTTAAAAATTTTCCACAATGAAATAATTGTCTAACAAATTTTTTCTCATAATTTGTCATTCAAATGTATATTAATAAATTTAATCAGTTTGCTTATAATGTATACAAAAAAGAACATACATTAAATTTGGAATTTGAGCTGAATTTCATTTTAAAAATAAATTATTTAATTTGTAAAATAAAATATATATAACAACTTTATTATATTGCTATTAAAATACATGCACAGTTTTATATTACACTTTCCTCATTTCCATAACTCTCCAATTTGAAATCGATTTTAATATAAATTTTAATAATAGTCAATTACTGATACGGTTGAAATCTTATTCCATATATTATACCTCTAAGAAATTCATTTTTTTTTTTCAGGATGATTAGACAGAGCTTGTATGAAATGTAATAATTTTATGCACATCAATTTAGTTTTTATTTTTTTTTCTGCTTTTTTATGCCCTTCAATTAAAATATTATAGCAATAAATTTATAGAAATATATTAATGATAGTAGTGAATAAAGACATCCTATATATTTATTTCATGATGAAAAAAGCAAAATAAAAAAAAATTTAAGAATGTAAAAGAAAGAAAAAAAACGACAATAATAATAAGAAAATAAAAATCCTTTGATATTTTTACTGTAAGGTGCCGATTTTTATGTTTTTTCATAGGTTGTTTATCCTTGTCGTCTTCAACTTTTACTTTTTTTTTAGGATTTTTTCAACAATATTGGGGAAAAAGTATTTATTAGTTTTACTGTACTTTTTTGTTTGTCTCTTTGAGATGGAAACCCGAAATTTAACACACAAACAGATTATTGCAAGAAACCTAATTCCTTAGATGAATGCTTTAACGTACCTCTTTATAAGCTCTAACCCCTCTTATAAAGATATATCATTCTTTCACCATTAAGAATGGGAAACTAGTGACATGTTTTTTCCGTCGCGAAACAGAATATTTTAATATTACAATGGTATAGATTTTCTTCGAGAATATGTTGCAAAAGTCTAAAATTTTAACAGTTTGTTTGTTATTTGAAAAGAAATGGTTTATTTTGTGAAAATACAATTTCTTTCTAACTTCCGCTGCTTCCAAGTTATCGTTACTCAAAGTTAGCAAAATTTCATTTTCGGCTATCTACTAAGCCATTAAATTCTCTAAGTTTCTTTTACTTTATTATTTTCTCGTAAGATAAAAGTATGCAATCATTTTTTTTCATAATGCAACATATTTCTGGTATATAAATAAAATAATTTAAGTATATGAGCAAGTCTTTTAAAAATGTACTTAATATTGTTCAAAGGAAATGTACTTCTTCACAAAACATTTATTTGATCTAACTTTATTTTCTTCTAATTTTACACTTTAAGGGATGATTAAAATAAAATTTATATTATTTCGTGAATATTTCTTTAATTCGAATATTAAAACTCTTCATACATATGTATATGAATCTGCATATTATAAGAATTTTCTACTAGGCTTGAATTTAATATACTTATATTACGACATGTGTATAAAAAGATTTAAAATTTCTTATATTATTCTCAATTATTTTTATATTTGCTCTCAACAATAATTTTTTAAATTATATATACATATACATTTAGCTATATTTTAAGTGAGCAATTTGTAAAGTTAGATTAATTTAAAATAAAATGTACATATATAAATATATGTATATAAATATATGTATACATAAGTAAAATTCTATAAGATTCAATATATGTATACATAAGTAAAATTCTATAACATTCAATGTATATGTGTATTGCTATCTATTTCTTTGTGAATATATTAGAAATGCATGTATTATTTTTCAACAATCAATTTAAATTAGAGTTTTAGAATATATAATTCTAATATATAAAATTTTGAACGAATAATAAAATGCAAAAATTAATTTAATCTTAATAATAGT